GGGTGCTGACCCTGGGCCCTACGGGAGAGCTTCCTCTCTGTGAACGAGGATGCCTGTGGCCATGGGAGCTGGGAGGCCCAGCTGGGCTGAGAGGATCACACCAACGGTGTGTGCAACCAATGCTGGCATGTGGGTAAGTCGGTGAACTACTGCTCGCAAGGCGCTCCTGTTCGGCAGGAAGTCCACCATATAAAGTCACTTCTGGACAGTCTGGACTCCCTGCACAGCCTGGCCAGCAGCTTCTGCACACCGCCCCCATCAGCCCCTTGGACCCAGCCAGCTTCCTCTAGGCTTCTGCTCCCAGTGTCCCCACCTAGGTGTCCCCTCTTCAACTTTCACCTGCAGAAAGCCCACTCCTCCTCCAGCACCCACTCCTGCTGCCCCCTGGGGCCTGATCGGTGCCCAGTGGCTGAGGATGGCACAGCCGTGTGCCCCTGTTGGGACTGTGCTTGGTTCTGAGCCTTGCAGGTCTGCCCAGCCCACGACAGGTAAACATGCAGAGTGGATGCATGACCAGCACAGTCGGGATTGACCCTCCAGGGCATGCCCCCCCCCCCCCCAGTGAGGAGCATGGGTCCCCAAGGTCACCCTGTGGGGTCTGTGCTGCACATGAGCTGATGTGCACAGCAGGATTGAAGGCACAGGAAGAGTGTAGTATATATTCACTGAAGACGGGCCCTCGCGGAAGCCAACACGAACAAGTGTGCACCTGGGCGTCCCTCCCCCCTCAGTTCTGGGTCTGTCCTCCCTCACACTCAACCGTGCTGGCACCGTTTGAAGGTGGGGGGGCCCCAACTCCTCCACTCACTCTTGGCATCTCCCTGAACTGGAATCTGCAAAAGGGGGCAATTTGGGGGGAGGGGGGAGGACTGCACAAGAAACTCCTCGCCCCACGTCCAAACCCCCAGGGCCGCAGCCACATCCAGGGAAACCCCCCTTCCCTGCCCCCAAACCCCCAGGCCAAGGCCCAAGGTGCCAGGGAAAAGGAAAGGGGGAAACAAGGCCTTAGGGCCCTTTCGTGGGGGGAATCTTCCTGCTCCCCAGGTTTCCTGGGAGGGGCTCATTCTCTTTCTTTTTTGTCTCCGACCCCCCCTTGGGGAAGCCCCCA